CACATCTCTTCAGGAAAACCATGCACCTTGATGTCACAGAACTTAAGTCCAGCATCTCCCTCCACCTTCCCCCACATTCTGTCAGAAGGTAGCATTGTTGTTGAGATAACACAAGGTCTCATGTAGTCTAGGCTCACCTCTAACTCCCCAAGTCCCAGTCCTCCTGCCTCTCTCTAACTCTTGAGTGCTGAGATGGTGGCAATTAAAACCAATGCTTCCCACTGTAGCCACGCTTTGTCTAATGTCATGGCTTAATGTTACACATTCTTACCAGATGTCCTCTCCCCCAAAGTCATCTGGTGTATAGACCATTTGTCACTAATACTTTCTGACAAAAGTCTTACAGTAAAATATATTTGTTCGGAAAAGGGTTTCAAGCTTTAGCACCTATTTCAAGCTAGCCTCCTGGTAGATCAGAAGCTAGCTTGTTTACTCCTGTAAATTCCTGTCCCCAGAACAGGACAGATGCTTAAGGGCATGAATAAATGTAAGCAGGAAATGTGATCGCTTGGGCCCTCACAGCAACCGAATCCCTCAATATGCCCCTTCACATTCTCAGGACACCAGACCACGGACGTCAAGGACAGTTTCTTCAGCTTGGCTCTGTCCCAAGCACTTTCCACACGTTTCTAGCAGATTCCAGTGGCTCTATCCATGTCTACACTGAAGCTTGGCAGTTATTTTAGTGGCAACTCAAAATGTTTTATGATTATAAATATCTTTATTAGCCTTTATTGCAGTCAGAATTATTTACTTACCCTTCAGTCACACAAATGGTTTTAGACTAAAACAGTAGCTATTTTCCTATTTTCAGTCAGGCCTAAAAGCCTCATTCTGGCATTATTTTGCTCTTCCAAATTGAGAAAACCTACATCTCGGTGCAAAGTGACTGTGAGCTGTCTGCTTAATAAATGACATTTCTTTTAAATGCAAATTTGAAGACTTAACATCTACTTTGTCCATATTTCTTTCTTGTCTCTGCCTAACATAATTCCTTCCTCTGCCTAGCTCACCTCTGAGACTCAATCATGCCTCCCAAATACACATGTATGTGTGTACACATGTGTGTTTCTAGTTGGGGTTTTGTTTTGTTTTGTTTGTTTGTTTGTTTTTCGAGACAGGGTTTCTCTGTGTAGCTTTGGAGTCTATCCTGGCACTCTCTCTGTAGACCAGGCTGGCCTCGAACTCACAGAGATCTATCTGCCTCTGCCTCCCGAGTGCTGCAACACCCTGCTATTTGTTTTGCTATAGCTCTACTTAGTTAGACTAAGGGAAAATTTTCTGTTTTCTTTCATATGTCTTCCCTTTCTTCTTTTACTCACCAAAATATGAGTAGATAAATACAACACAGTATGATGGACTTACGATAGACTATACAAAATAGATTTGTTTTGTTTTGTTTCTGGACATGGAGTCTTGCTAAGTTGCCCAGGCTGGCTTTGAACTCACAGAAAAACATCTGCCTCTGCCTCCTGAGTGCTGGGATTAAAGGTGTGCACCACTATGCCCAATTTAAGATTTTTTTCCTAGACAGGGTTTCGCTGTGTAACCCCAGCTGTCCTGAAACTCCCTCTGTAGACCAGGCTGACCTCAGACTCACAGAGATTGCCTCTGCCTCCCAGAGTGCTGGGATTAAAGGCGTGTGCCACCACTGACTGGCTAGCAACCCCCCTCTCCCATTAAGATTCCTAAGAAATGATGTGGAGCTGTGCTGGATAGATGACTGGGTGTTTCAGAGCACTTGTGGCTCTTGTAGAAAACCTGGGTTCTGTTTCCAGCACCCACATGCATCTGTAACTCCGGTCCCTGGAGATCCAACCCCCTCTTCTGACCTCCAGGCACCTACATGATACATATGATGCATATATGTATATGTAGGTAAAACATCCACACAAATAAAATACAATAAATGTATCTTTCAAAAATGTTTAAAATTGCCAGGCAGTGGTGCCACACTCCTTTAATCCCAGCATTTGGGAGGCAGAGAGAGGCAGATCTCAGGGAGTTCAAGGCCAGCCTGGTCTACAAAGTGAGTTCTAGGTCAGCTAAGGCTATACAGAGATTCCCTGTCACAAAAACAAAAAACAAAACAAAAAAACCAGGCAGGGTGGTGCACACCTTTAATCCAGCCTGGTCTACATAGTGAGTTCTAGGACAAGTAGAGATACATAGTGAGAACCTGTCCAGAAAAAAAAAAAAAAATGAAAGAAAGAAAGCCCCTTTCAGTAGTGCCCAGCTACTGGCTTTTAGTGGACTCCAGATTCAGTCAGGATGACAACCATGATTCACCATCACAGGCCTCATCAACTCGACATTCAGTCGAATTGCCTTATGCCACACTTCCAAATGAAAAATGATACCAAGGTCATAATTCCATATAACATGCTATAACCTACACATATGACTTAAATTGCAGGCTGGCCTCCAGCCCCAGCCAGGTCATTATAATACTTTTCTAATTAATGCCAGGCGTTGGTGGCGCACTCCTTTAATCCCGGCAGAGACAGGCGGATCTCTGTGAGTTCGAGACTAGCCTGGTCTATAAGAGCTAGTTCCAGGACAGCCTCCAAAGCCACAAAGAAACCCTGCCTCGGGGGAAACTCTCCCCCCCCAAAAAAAATCCTTCTGCCTACATACTCTGATGTCATGCTCACATTTTTTTGTTTGTTTGTTTTTCAAGACAAGGTTTCTCTGTATTGCTTTGGAGGCTGTCCTGGAACTCGCTCTGTAGACCCGGCTGGCTTCAAACTCACAGAGATCCACCTCTACCTCCCAAGTGCTGGGATTAAAGGCGTGAGCCATCACGACTTCATTGAGCTTCATTCTTTCTTTTCTCTTTCTTAAAAATATTTATATTTTTGTTTATTGTGAGGTGGGGTACAACATGGCATGTATGAGGAAGTCAGAGGACAACTTTTGGAAATCAGTTTCCTTTTCTTCTTCCCTGTATTGAACTCAGGTCTTCAGTCTTGGCACTAAACATTTTTACCCACTGATACATTTTTTTTTTAAAGATTCGTTTATTTATCTATAATGTGCTCTATTTGCACATGTGCCTGCATGACAGAAGACGGCATCAGATCCCATTATAGATGGTGGTGAGCCACTATATGGCTGCTGGGAATTGAACTCTGGACCTTTGGAAGAGCAGTCAGTGCTCTAAACCGCTGAGCCATCTCTCTACTCCCACTAATCCATCTTTAATTTTTAAAAAATTTTATTTTGTGTATTGTTTTGCTTGCATGTGTGTCTTGAGTACCACATGCATGCAGTGCCCGCAGAGGCCAGAAGAGGGCAGCAGATACCCTGAGGCTAGCGTTAGACAAGGTTGTGAGCCAAGATATAGGTACTAGGAATGGAACAGGGATTCTTTGAAAGAACAGCCAGTGCTCTAACCACTGAGCAATCCCTTCATACTCCCACAGAAGGATCTTGCTAGCTCCCTTCCCTCTATATTTTTTTTGGGGGGGGGCGGTTTCGAGACAGGGTTTCTCTGTATAGCTTTAGAGCTTATCCTGGCACTCGCTCTGTGGACCAGGCTGGTCTTGAACTCACAGAGATCCTCCCACCTCTTCCTCCCGAGTGCTGGGATTAAAGGCTTGTGCCACCAATGCCCGACATCCCTCTTTTTTTTTTTTTTTTTTTTTAAGATTTTATTTATTTAGAATACAGTTTTCTGCCTGCGTGCCCGCAGAGGGCACCAGATCTCATTTAAGGTGGTTGTGAGCCACCATGTGGTTGCTGGGAATTGAACTCAGGACCTCTGGAAGAACAGTCAGTGCTCTTAACCGCTGAACCATCTCTCCAGCCCCCATCCCTCTATTCTTATTGCCCAGTTTTTTCATCACAGTATTTACATTTTTAAATAACATCCATCCATCCTGTGTTCATATGAGAGCATGTATCACAGAACACTGGTGGATCAAAGGACAATTTTTAGAAGACACTTCTCCCATGGATTAAGGCTGAGCACGGCATCTCACCATAGGGAATGGGCTCCAACAAGCTAGGGTTATATCAAATCAAAGGAATTTCAATGAAATAAAAATGTAATTGCATTATATGAAAAGTTGATGTGAAAATTATATGACCATAATGAAATTTACTCCAAAAGGTACCTTTTAATTGGGTGGTGGTTTATCCCTATTTCCTACCATTTGGAAGACTGAGGCAGGAGCATTACTGTGAGGTCTAAGCCAGCCTAGAGTATACAGTGAGATGCCAGCCATGCACACGGCCTACAGAGTGCTAGCCTATCTCACAAAGAAGGACAAAGGAAAAAACAAAAACAAAAACAAAAAAACCACCCAAAGCCAAAATACAACAGAATCTTCTAGTGGAAAAGCCATTTATTAATATAACTGATTAATAGCATTTGCATCATCCTTAGGGCTGAGGCCTTAACTTGCTGGTAGAGTGTCTGCTTAGCATGTTCCAGGCCCCTAATTTAATTCCTAACACTGCCTAAGACATAAAAGTTTGGGCCTAAAAATTTGGTCAAAATCTTCAGTGCTTACTAGTGTCATGGAAATGGAAGGATCCAGAAAGCTGTTGTTCTCGGACTAGAGCTTTAGAAGTCAGGGCTGCAATTACAAAGCTGGAACTTTCCACTGTGTAAGTAGCAATCTGGTTTCCTTTGCATCCGCTGTAAAATAATGCATACCGGGAGCCTAATAAATGCTTGCTGAATGTCAAGATTCTCTTAATGCACTGTAAGTATTAGGACAGAGGACTTGACCTATAGAGTGGATCATTTTAACTTAGCAATTACTGAGTCACAAATGAACTCTCAAAAGCTTTGAGAGCAGAATCAGGGAAACAGGGACATGGCCATCTTTGGTATAAACACAGCCCTTCGGAAAAATAAACCACGTCCTAATCATAAATTGAAGTACTTTTGTGTTTATGTTCTTTGTTCACCAAACTTTCTTCTTTAAGCTTTTTCCCACCTTTAAAATTTGCTTCAACAGATTTCCTTACTCTCCACCTACAAGGTCATCATGGAAATCTCAAAGGAAACGGTATTTGATGAGTATGAGAACTATTCCTATACCTTGGACTATTACTCCCCGGAGTCTGACTTGGAGGAGGACATGCACCTGGGAATTCTTCACTGGATATCCCTGATGTTATATGTCCTAGCATTTGTCCTGGGAATTCCAGGAAACGCCATTGTCATTTGGTTCATGGGCTTCAAGTGGAAGAAGACAGTCTCTACTCTTTGGTTCCTCAATCTGGCCATTGCAGATTTCATTTTTGTTCTCTTCCTGCCCCTGTATGTCTCCTATGTGGCGTTGAGTTTCCACTGGCCCTTTGGCCTGTGGCTGTGCAAGGCTAATTCTTTCATTGCCCTGCTGAACATGTTTTCTAGTGTTTTCTTCCTGACAGTGATCAGCCTAGACCACTATTTCCGTTTGATCCATCCTGTCTTGTCTCATCGGCACCGAACCCTAAAGAACTCACTGGTCGTTGCTGTATTTGTGTGGCTTTTGGCTTCTCTGCTTGGAGGTCCTAACCTGTACTTCCGGGACACTCTGGAGGTCAATAACCACATTATTTGTTATAACAATTTCCAGGACCCCGACCTCACCTTGATGAGACATCACGTTCTAACCTGGGTGAAGTTCCTTTTTGGCTACCTCTTCCCTTTGCTGACAATGAGCTTCTGCTACTTGTGTCTCATCTTCAAGGTGAAGAAGCGAAACATTCCAATGTCTAGTAAGCAGTTTTGGACAATCCTCTGTGTGGTCATTGCCTTCATGGTCTGCTGGACTCCTTATCACCTGTTTAGCATTTGGGAACTCACCATGTACCACAACAGCTCTTTCCAGCACGTGCTGCAGGGTGGACTCCCTCTCTCTACCGGCTTGGCATTCCTCAATAGCTGCTTGAACCCCATCCTTTACGTTCTAATTAGCAAGAAGTTCCAAACTCACTTCCGGGCCTCTACTGCTGAGATACTAAAGCATTCACTGTGGGAAGTCAGCTGCCATGGCACAGCCAGTGAACAGATCAGGAGCGCTGAAACCAAGAGCCTGTCTTCCCTAGAAACAGCCCAATTGAGTACCCTGTTCCCAGAAATCAGTGTGGAGTCGCCCTGTGAGCCTAATAACAAATCCTTTTAGATGAAGCTTCGTCCTGATCTAAATTGACTGACTATATTTTTGTTGTTTTTGTTCAGTGTATTGGCCTTATATTTTTGTATGCGTATAAAATGTAGGATTTCTTCCTTGCCATTTAAACGCTGCATATTTCTGGCTGCCCTCTGGTGGCGATTGTGGTACTGACAACCTATGACTTTCCTCCCACTGTTTTAGCCTCCGTCCATTGATGTACTGCAATGTATCTCTCAGATTAAATAAATCTTCTTTATAATGCATACCACATTACGTTAATCATCTTGGAAAAATATCAGGCTCATTTTTGTTTGCTTTTGGGTCGTTTTGTGCGTGTATGCATGTTCATATGTGTGCAGGTGCTCATGTGTGCAAACAGTGATAAATAAACCTAGATTGTTGCTCCTCACGAGCCTCCCACCTAATTTTTCTTGAGACAGGGTCTTTCACTTGCCCAGAGCTCACCAAGTAAGCTAAGATGGCTAGCCAGCAAGTCCCAGAGATCTGCCTGTCTCACCTCCCCAACACTGCGACTGAGTGCATGTCACCACCATGCCAGGCTTTTTGTGTGTTGCTCTTTAAGAACTAGGGCATCTCCCCAGCTCCCTAATCATCACCTTTTCAGTTACTAAGAAAGGAGAAAATTAACAAAAATCTTTGTCTGGGATAGAGTTTCACTATGTATCCTAGACTGACCTCAAGTTCCAATAAACAAATTGAATATATATATTGGGGGGGTTCGAGACAGGGTTTCTGTGTGGCTTTGGAGGCTGTCCTGGAACTAGCTCTTGTAGACTAGGCTGGTCTCGAACTCACACCTGCCTGTGTGACCCACCTGCCTGTGCATCCCAAATGCTGGGACTAAAGGAGTGCGCCACCACTGCCCAGCTGAATATACATATATTTTAACAGCATAATACATATATATTCAACTTTAATAATTTATAAATTAAGCTATCAATTGTTTATATTGGTTTAAAACTTCCATTCCTGTTAACTGTTTAATAAATTTCCCCAAAATCTAATTGTTTAAAGCAACAATTTCTTGTTGGTATAGTTAAATTCTGAGGTTCTGGAAAACCAACAAGACAGAGGGTGATTTGACTCTGCTTCCTATGTCTGTCTGGAGCCTCAGATGGGTAATAATGCAAGTGGCCTAGCCTGGAATAGTTGGGACGAGTTAATCAACTGTACTTGCTCTCACGTCTACACTTCTCAGTCCAAAAGCTGCAAGGGGCAAGTGCTCCACCACCGAACCTCATCCTCAGGCCTGTTAAAGGTTATGAATGTCACTCACAGCCTTGTTTCCACAATATCCAACTGGTCAAAGCAAGACTAGGCTGGCTCAGAATCAGAGGGGACAGACCTCTTGAAGCGTGTCTACAATTTTGTGTTCAGTTTTAGTTTTTTAGAACATCGTGGTTATGGAAAATTCCGGCTGTATACAAGTGTGTAGATTACTATAAACAATAGAAACACATTTCCCAGGTGATATAGAGGCTGGTCCGAACTCAGTACTTCAAAGAACATGCATCGCCAGCATAGTTCCATCTTTTGGTCTTTTGTTTACGTGGACACCAGTATAAGATGAATAAAATATACCTTTACGTCAGTGTTCTGCAGAATCCTCAAGCACTATGAATTTCCAGAAGAGCAAGTGCGCCCTCTGCCGACCCTCATGGTTCTGACATTGCCTTCCTCTGGCTCTCGTCGTTTAGACACTGCCCTCTGCTGGCCATTATGATCCTGAAAAAAATCTTCCCACTATTTCAGGCCGCATCTGTTGTCTTTTCCTCAGCGAATGTTTTATTAAATAAATCTTTACAGGAAGCTTCCCTCACTAGATTGATAGCAAGAGTACTGGCTGGTTGAGCGAAATAACCCTGGATTATTTATCCTTCTGAATTCTATCTACAAAATACAGCAAGCTTTAAAGACACAACATCCAAACTGTAAAAACAATAGTAACTACATTTGGTATTTAACATGAAGCCAAAATGGCTGATGTGTTCAATGGTGTACTTCCAGGGCAGTACAATCCCTAGCATCAGATCACACTTCTAACAATAGGCCCATCCTCTGTAGCTGAATGAATACGTGACATTTGTAAATGGACGTTATGACTCACCTCCTCTGGTACAGTGGCATAGAAAAGGGAAGGAGGGAGCTAGAGATTGCTCAGCAATTAGGAATATTTGACAACCTGGGCACCAACACCTACATAGTCGCTAACACCCATCTGTAACTCCAGTTCCAAGGGACCCAATAACCTTTTATGAATTCCCCAGGCAGGCATTCATGTGGCACATACATTAACACTGATGAAGAAAATACTTCTGTGACTGAGTGCTGTGCATGTCAAGGTCAGAGGAGCACTTTCCAAAGTCTGCATTCTACTTCCCACCCAGGTTCTAGGGACCGAACCCAAGCGGTAAATGTGTGTTATGAGTACCCTTACTGGCTGAACCATCTTACTGGCCAAAAGTCAATTTTTCAAAAAAGCAATCTTGAAGACGTCTGTTCACAATAGACCATATTCATCAGCACCATGTGTTGCTGCTGACAGCCACAGAATTTTATCAACAAAGGCTACAAAATTAACTATAATTGCTAAATGTTTAATAACACATCAGTTGTTTTTTTTTAATGTGTGTAGTCATATGGTATGTGAAAAACACATTGGCTAAAATACAACTTCTAGGAGTCAGTCCTCTTCCTTGTGGGTCCTGAGGGTTAAACTCTGGCTGGTCAATCAAGCATGGCCAAGTGGGCTTGACCTGGTGCTTTATCTGTCTTTCCAGCCAAGTTTTCATTACTTAGGAATTACATAGCCACTGAATCCTTTCCCCCAAATGAAGACACACACACCACCATTTCTCACAATAGAATGTAGAGTCAAGGGTTGTTTGAGATTTTATTCAAGTGCACTGACCAAGGATGGTTTTAAATTTTGTTAAAAGCAGCCACATCCATGGACTGCACGTAGTCCTCAAAGGCAGTAATCTGCTCCTCTAGCATATCTGTTCCAACTTTGTCATCTTCAACTACACACTGGATCTGAAGCTTTTTAATTCCATATCCCACCGGAACCAACTTGGCTAAAAAAAGAACAAGGGAAAAAAGTTAGGAAATTCTTATTGATGGGAAAACATTGAAAATGTACATGAATTTCAACTTCAAAACCCATCAGTAAACTTACAAGAGCCCCACACCAAGCCATCTGCTTGAATGCTTCTGACACACTCCTCTAATTTTGTCATGTCTGTCTCATCATCCCAAGGCTTCACATCTAGTAAGATGGAAGACTTGGCAACAACCGCAGGCTCTAAAAAAGATTAAGAAATGCATTATACTTAAGCACTCTACTAAACACCTTTACCGTAGGCCAAATCTCAACTTGTTTCAAAACAGACATCTTCTTGCTGAAAAAACATACAGAATTTACCTTGTGTCTGTCACGCATATTCCTCTTTCAATTTGGCTAAGAAAGAGGCATTAAATTGTGTAACAGTTTCTTTCCCACAGAGGAATGCTACAGCTGCTATCATATGAACAGTTGTAGACCAGTAGCTGTGGATGTTCCATAAGGAAAGATGTTTATTGAAGACTCTTAAAAATACCGACCCATTCAATGAAACTGGAAAAAAAACCACTTTAGGGTCAAGCTTTGGAAAAGACCACCACTCACATTATTATTTACCAATGAAGGTAAACAACTGTAAAATTACCTACTTTTAGCTTTCTTTGATTCATACTGTGCAAGGCGCTCTTCTCGGAGCCTCTTTGCTTCTTCGCTTTCCTGTATAGGAAACAAAAATTTCACAAAGTTGGTTATCTTCTGCTTAAACACAGTGACAGGGTCATTACAAAAAAAGAGACCAGATTTATCAGAAAAAAGCAAATCCATCAGGAGCTCAGCCGAAAGATGGTGATTTGATTTTATTCATCATATACCCAGTGATATCTTTTTAAAGGCAGATAACAAAGCAAAGCCAGGGGTCAACTCCAGGGAGTGACTACACAGCTATACTTATACTACACTTACGCTGCCTTATCAACATACTCTATATGAGGTCAGCCATACCTCCTCATCATCTGATCCGAAGAGATCAATGTCATCATCATCTTTAGCATCCGCAGTTCCACTTCCTGTGGTGTCTTCCACACTGGCAGGGCCATACTTGCCCAGAGATTTCTTCACTCCTGGCAGGCTTGAAAACAAACATTCTACCAATATTAGGTCGGGTGTCATATTCTTTTCTGGGCAAAACACACAACCTTTCTTTCCCAGTAACACTCAATCTCTTCTATTCTGGTTATTTATCCTTTAGCACAAACAATCCCAGGTAAAGATGTTATGTGTCTAGCTCTTCCTCCAACAAACATTAGTACCACGGGAGACATCATACTCAATACTCACTATGGTTTAACTCTTTCAGAATGAACATCTCTGTTTGGGATTTCATTAAGTATGCTCACTTCCATTCTTAGTTAACTGGAGTCCACTTCCCCAAACTCTCCACCCTTGCTTGCTGGTAGTTTCAGAAGAATGGCCAGGGACTGAATGAATGAGCTACCCTCTCACCCCAGCGATGGCCCCCCCAGGTCCAAGCATACTGGCAGAGAGGTGTGGGGTAAAGTTGAATTGCTGTTGTCCATGTTCTACCTGTTCCGTGAGAAAACGGAGGGCTTCAGTCTCTTGGCCTTTTAAGGTCACAAAGAAATTCAGCTTACCCAAGCCCAACAAAGCTAAGTAACTTAACCTAGGTCCTAGTTTACCATGTGAAAACCCAGGTGGCACCAAGACATTTTTTACCTGGCTTTCTCTTTCTCGTAAGACTTGATGTGGTTATACCAGCGCAGAGCATGACACAGGTCAGCGGGCGGAGGACCAGAGACGGCTTCAAAGACGGCCACATCTGCTTGCGATGGCACGTCCCTGCCGGTGACACAAAAAACAAAGTGCACACACCTCTTAAAGAAAAGACACGAACACCAGCTAGTATAGG